GTTAAGAGTATCGGCTGGCTTGTACGAGTACGAGTACTTGATGCTGGTATCGGACCCGATACCGATACTGGTCAAAAAACCTCCTAATATTAAAAAAAGAAGTCACAGGTGACTCTGGTTACAGCATGATGCCAGAGGTAAACTGCAACAAGAGAAAGTTCATATAATGTGTCTGACCCAGAACTGATGCAAAATAATTAAAAAAGACAATGAAAAACATCAACCATCTCCCAATATAAAAACCTCTGTCTTAGCTCTGCTACTAACTGACGACTAAAAGGGTGCAAGTGATTCAGGATTTTAAGAATGTCAAATAAATGAACAAATGGACTGCCATACGTACACTATGTCTTACTTTGCTGCTGCTAAAAATTATAGCCAGCCAGGAGTCTGGTCCTTATAACTGATTCGAATCAGAGTTATTTAAATAATATCTTCTGCTATTCTGTGTTTTTAATGTTTTCAGTTTTATTTATTTTTTCCTGTTCTTACTGGGATTATTTGGTACAAATACATGACATCAGGACCAGTAAGTGCTGAGTCACTGTTCCTTCCCTGTGAGATTGATGAGTCACATGTTGTTATTTGTCTTTGGAGGTATCCTGAAGAACGTTAAAGACCACATCAGAGAGTGCCCACTCTGTCAGAGCAGACGAGTCGTCGACGACGGCTCCGGACCCCGACCGCTGTCCCGMCAGGGACGCCGCAAGGCCGGGGCCAGCGTGATCGACGAGGAGTACGAGGAGGAGGAGGAAGATGAAGGAGACGACAGTTTATTCGTCACAGATTTGAATTCCTTGCCGAGATCTAAGTTCACCAAGGGCACGACGAAGCACGAGGTGGTCTTCGTAAGTAGCTGCTCGCATCAGGAGGAAGCAGAGGGAGTAAAGGAMCTGTGGAGGGGAGCTGAGTGGTTTGCTTTGTGCTGATTCCAGGTTGACAGTAAGGGCGAGGTGAATCAGTTCCTGCCCAAACACAGCCAAACCATGATGGACAAACTGAACCAGCAGCGACTCAGCAACCAGTTCTGTGACATCACTCTGCTCATCGAGGGGGAGGAGCACCGCGCGCACAAAGCCGTCCTGGCTGCCTGCAGCGAGTATTTCAACGAGCTGTTCTTTGAGAAGGGAGCAGCGACCACACATGAAGCCGTGGTCGACCTGTCTGGTGAGTCTGTTAGGACTTTAGAAAATACCTTTATTATTTACCATATAGCAGGGGTCGACATAATCATTGTTTAGGTTGTCCGAAACAACCTATTTTCATTTCGGACAACCAGATCCCACCTCCCAGTTGTCACGTGGACAACCAAGGAAAAAAAAAAGACCAAGAATAAATTAAAGTTTGTCGGTGTTCGTCGTTGTAAAAACCACAGGAGAAAAAATAACTTGTTAAAGCCATTTAGGGATTAAACTGACGGTTCTTTCACCCAATAAAGAGAACCAAAGTCAGACTTTTATCCAATCAGAACAGAGCAGYGCGGGTCGTGCCGTATGACAGACAGCGCTGCCATTTTTTCTTCTTTCTCTGTGGGTCTCAMRTTCACTCAGCTCAGGTGAACACCTCCTGGGAAAGCCCTCAGCGTTTCCTGGACTATTTTCCACRGAGGATTACGTATTTTATATATATTTCTAAAAGCACCTTGCAGTATTTCCACCGTAACACCGTGTGTTCACGTCACGAGCACAACAAAGCCGCGACAGATCACCTGACTGGTTTTAAAGCGAGGGCTGAGAGGCAGTTTGACCGCAGCTGCTGCACCTGTCCACGCACAGCACAGCTCCGACCTGCCCGGGACTTCAGAGTCCACATGTCAACCCCTTCAGACGTTGACCTGTATAATGAGCATCAAAAATCCGTAGCCTAATTTTCCGCAAAAAATCCATATTAATCACGCGGGTGGAGTGGAGGTGCAAGCAGACCAGAGCCGCACGGGGTGGAGAGGGGCGGGGTTTCGTCTTTTAACAAAGGCGTGTCTGCGCTTGACTTTGATTTTCTTCTAAAATCACAAAGTACTCTGAGTCAGCTTCAGGTGTTTGTAATTAACTCTAAATATCTGCTAAATTTAACCAGGTGTTTCAATGCCTTTAAATTACACAATAATTTTACAGTCTTTGGGTACTCAACCCGCCTCAGTCTCAGCTCAACTCAGGCCTCGCGTCGACTGATGGAGCTGAATGTTGAGGAGTTTGCAGTCCTGTCTGTTTGCTTCTCTGTTTCTGATGCAACTCAGACAGGAAGTGGTTGTCACATGTACTCTCACATGTTCAGATGATCATGTGTTGACAAAACTTACAGAAGTTGTTCTCCAGATTCATAAAACATCTCTGGCGTACTTTTCTGCCCTAAACTTTGCGCAGAGCTTTGTATTTTTTTTAATCTGGTTGTTTTATTTGATATATTAATTGTTTTCTGTGTGGAGAGGAGGAGGTCAGGCTGTGGCAGGTTCAGGGGGCGACAGCAGCCAAAAACACCTCAGAAACTCAACAGAATTCAGTGAGATGTTGTTCGGTAAACTTCGTGATTCTGTTTGTCCTGAGAGTTTCTCTCCAGTGTTTCATCTTCACTCTTCTCTCTCTGCAGGATTCACCAAAGCCACCTTCCTCCCACTGCTGGATTTTGCGTACACGTCCACGCTCACGTTTAATTTCTGCGTCATGGCCGACATCGCCAACCTGGCTCGGCACCTGCTGATGACCGAAGTGCTGCAGATTTGCGAGTCGGTGCACAAACAGGTGGAGGAGCAGAAGCTGATGGTGTACCAGAGGAGCAAGCCCCAGGTGGTGGTGACGGCCCCATCGGCCGACCGGGAGGATCCCGAGGGCCCGATGGAGGAGCCGGACACCTACATGGTGACCATACAGGACGACGGCAGGGCGGTGGTGACACAAGGCCCCGTCACCGTTTCAGTCGCCCAGAGCAGAGGCTACGTCCAGCAGCCGGRGGAGGTCGTAGCCCAGGATGTGACGGGAGAGGCGGTGCATGCTGGGGAGGCRGGGCCGAACACGCTGATGGCTCACAGCGGGCAGGTGGAGGCCGGAGAAACCGTCGCTCTGATCGCAGGCTGTGACGAGGGCATGGAGGGCGAGACCCTGACGGTGGTCACCCACAGCGGGCAGGCGGGGGCCAGCGAGTCCCTCGCCGTGGTGTCAGCCTGCCTGGCGATGGAGCAGCCGCAAGTTGCCGAGGCCGAACCTTTTCTCGTCAGCGAGGACAGAGAGAGCCCCCCACAGGTGAAACCAGTGTCCAAAGAGACGAGCCCCCAGCGTGAAGCCATGGAGGTCCCAGCCGCAGAGCCGGCCCCCGCACCCCCGAAACGCAAACGAGGCCGCCCGGCCAAGCTGAAGAAGGAGGCGGAGGAGCCGGCGCCGCAGGAGGAGCAGCCCTCCGCAGACGAGGACGGCGCCGACAGGCAGGAGGCGYCCTCGGATGATCCGAGCAGACGGCGCCTGCGGCAGCGCTCCATGGTGGAGGGCAGCTACGCTCGTCTGCATATGGGGCTGGAGGAAGAGGAGGAGGGCAAAAGTACAACCCCCCCTCATCCCTCCACCCCCAAAGTTCAGAACCAGGTATTATTCAGTTTTACCATCATGTCTGAAGAGCGACWGTAAAGCAACCATGTTTGTGTGTCTGTAGTGTTAGCAAAATATCTCATGAAACACTGGACAGCTTTTAAAGGGATCCATGATTAATGATGCTGATGATGATCAGGGGTAGACACAACCTATTTAGTTTCAGACAACCAGATCCTGCCTCCTGGTTGTCTGGTGGACAACCAAGAAAAAAAGACCTTGATTAAAGTTCTCTGCTGCGGGGGTCCATCATTGTAAAAATGAACGGGAGAAAAAATTTGGTAAAGCCGAACAGAACACTAAACTGTAACTTTCAATAAGGTCATGTACACAGTATACTACTATTTAAGTGAACAAACCCCTGGGGGTCCTGGGAGCCCAGTTTAAGAACCTATGGTTTCACCAACACTGAAATGATTTTAACTCAGTTTTACAGAAACTGAGGAGAAACTTGGTGTTGCTGAGTCATCCTAACAGAGGGTGACCTCAGCGGTCGAGCAGAAATTTGCTGTCAAGCTTTGCTCAAAGATGATCTTCATCTATAATTCTGAAAGGTGCTGGGTGGGTGTATAGTTTAAGATGCTAGYTGTTTAACTGATGAATGTCTCAATGTTTTAGGTGGGCCCGCGGCATGGGAAGAGGGGCCGACCACCGAAGAGAGCAGCAGAGCCTAAAGAGGACGATCAGTCTGTGTCTGAATCTGTGGCGGCAACTGAGGTGGTGGAGACCATGAAGACAGAGGAGCTCAGCGCCGAGGAGGCTGCCGCTGGTGTGAAGCCCACCCGAGAACAGAGCGCCGTGGACGGAGAGCACACCTGCGCCGAGTGCGGCATGTCCTTCGACAGACGCTACTCCCTCATCATGCACACGCTGAAACACGAGAAGTCCCGTGGATACAAGTGCAGCGTGAGTGTTAGCTTCAAGCTACGTGCTAACTCTGAGTGTCTGTGGTCTCACGGTCCAGTTTCTGTGTTTCAGCTCTGCAGCAAGGAGTTCCAATACGCCGCCTCGCTCCAGGCCCACCTGGCTCGACACAAGCAGAAGAGCAGCCGGCGAGCGTCCATCTCCAAAGTCTCGGCCGAAAGCGGCTCGGAGAGCAAAGCGGACGACGACGCCGACGCGGCGGCGTCTCAGGTCAAGCGGGAGTTTATGTGCGACATCTGCGGGAAGGTTTTACCCAAGATGTACTCGCTGAGGATCCACATGCTGAACCACACGGGCGTGCGGCCTCACTCCTGCAAGGTGTGCGGCAAAACCTTCGCCCACAAACACAGCCTGAAGATGCACCGAGCGCTGCACGACGTCACCAAGCAGTTCCAGTGCGGCTACTGCAAGAAGTCGTTCGTGAGCAAGAGGAGCATGGAGGAGCACACCAGCCTGCACACAGGTCAGTGTATGGGATAAACCTTGTGCCAACAGGAACTGAATTTAAATTGCTCAGATTGGGCCTCATGCAAGAACCGTTCGCGGTGTGCGACGGTGCGCGACGGTGTGTCTTCTGAATAAATGAAAATG